TCTTGAAGTTTCAGCTTGTTTGGAGTTGTGCAGAATAGGTAGCCTGACGTAGCTTTTCCAGGTCCAGATTTCCAGCTGCTGGAATTCTCCCTCTTGGTGTGTACCTTGCAAATTATGAGAGAAAAGGCATTAGAATTACTTCAAAAAGCATTATTATGGATAAAAACATTATAAATAACAATAAGAAAACATGATGCAAAATGGACGTATCAATGTCCTGGGCTGGCGGTATAGCCCGTTAGTCTTAGGATTAATTAGAGATAAGGGTCGCTTGCTTAGGGGTCAAGCAAGGTGTTAGAGTACGTAATGGGCCTAATGGCCTGGGCTGGCGGTATGACCCGTTAGTCTTAGGGTTAATTGGAGATAAGGGTTGCTTGCTTAGGGGTCAAGTAAGCCTTGCTTGGGAGTCAAGTAAACCTCTCTCTATATAAAGAGAGGAGATGTATCAATCTAATCAAGCAAGAATTAAGAAGGAAATCCCTTCCATCTTGCCCGGCCGTGGGCAGAAAGACCCCCGGCCGGCCCTCTCGCGCCCTCCTTCTAGCAGCCACATAACAATTTGGTATCAGCTAGCTTCGGTTCGATCATGTCTTCACCGCCGCCCAACCCATCTCTTCCGTTGCGGGTCACCTCGTCGCCTTCGGCGACCACCACGACCACCGGCCCGCTCCTGCCCGCGTCGGGATCCTCCGTTGCACCCGCCCCCGCCGTCCTCACCCTGGAGGAGGTGTCCGGGCGCTGCGGGATCTAACCTAGGCGGTCCAGGATATCCGCCTGTTCTTGGTCGGGTCCTACGGGCCGCACCCAGATGCGCCGCCCATCACCGCCATCGCGCTGCCGTGGCAGCCGCCACACCAGGCGGCCTCCGCCTCGCTCGCCGGGACGTTGCAGCAGCCGCTGCAGCTGCCATCCACCGCACCATCGCCCCGCCCTGGCTACAGTGGCAGTCGCCGCTCCTCGCGGCCTCCGCCGCGCCTGGCGCTCCGCTGCGGCAACCACCGTCGGTCGGCTCCGGCCCCGCATCGACCGCGCCACCGGGAGTCCCGATCCACCAGATCAAGTTACCGCCATCGCCATGCATTACTGCTTCCCCAGGGCGTTCCCATCCAGCAGATCAAGTTCCCACCGTCGCCGTCACTGCTTCCGGCTTGGATCACTACCCACCATGTGTCTGCGGCAGTGAGGCTGCAGGCTGCTGCGCGTGGCCTCCTAGCGCGTCGGCATGTGCGGGAGATGTGTGGTCTGCAGCTGCCGCTCCTCCCAGCTGCGCTTCGCTGCGCAAAGGACCTCGATCTCGTCCGCTGCGTCAGGGATCTTGTGCATGCTATTTTTCCCACGGGCAGCGACCTCAAAGTTTGCGACACCGACGGTCGGGGGCGCACCCCTCCTCATCATTCTCCATCGCAAGCCCTCCACTCTTCTCTATGCGGTGCAGATCAACAGCCGTCCGGCAGGGAGAAGGCAGGGTGTCACCGATAGGAGCGCACCGCGTAGCACCACTGCATTCCGCCGGCTGCCGCGAGGGCGCCTCTGCTGGTCGCTCTTGAGATCACTTCCAGGTGGCCATACACATGCACTCCTTTTGTCCAGATGGTGTCCATGGGATCTAGGTGGATGTACACGTGCACACCCCACGTGCGGATGGTGTCCACTTTTTGTTAAGGGGTCCAAAATAAAGCGTCCCAGTCCATATCAGGTTGAGAGTAATAAAACAAGCTGAGATGTAAAAGGCTTGTTTTTAGGTGTTAGGTTTGTCTTGCATCGAGTCATGGTTATAAGTTGGTTAGGCTGCAGCTCGAGGACAAGTTGCATGTCCAGGTGGGGTGTAGTGTTAGAGTACATAATGGGCCTAATGGCCTGGGCTGGCGGTATAGCCCATTAGTCTTAGGGTTAATTAGAGATAATGGTCACTTGCTTAGGGGTCAAGTAAGCCTTGCTTGGGAGTCAAGTAAATCTCTCTATATAAAGAGAGGAAATGTATCAATCTAATCAAGCAAGAATTAAGAAGGAAATCCCTTCCATCTTGCCCGGCCGTGGGCAAAAAGGCCCCGGCCGGCCCTCTCGCGCCCTCCTTCTAGTAGCGCCATAACATAAGCCTTGCTTGGGAGTCCATTAGGCCCATTACGTACTCTAACAACAGCATCGCCCGTGATGGTGTTGCATGCAAAATGTCCACCACTTGGACCGGCATTTTTTCTGCCAAAGAGGCGAAGAGGTAGGAAATGTACAAGATGTTCATATATGTGCAAAAGGGAGAAGAAGGAGTTCGACCATGAGTGGTTGAACTTGAAGAAGAACAAAATATAATTGAAGAGGCAAGAAAAGATTGCAAAATGGGAGCTTAAACAAGTGGTGACAATGCAAGGAATTGAGCTCTGGAGCCTTAGCGAGTTCCGTTGCAGCCAGTTCGAATTCGGACCCTCGAGTGCAAAGGCAGAAGGGAGCTTGACTGCAAGACTCCGTTGCTTGTTCGAAGAATCCGCAAATAAATATTCTTTATTTTCTCTCGAGAAAGAAGTTGGAGCTTGGGAGAGAGATGTATGAGTCGAGGATCATGTTGCAGGACATAAACATCTTGAATGATGAAGGCAAGAAGTGGGTGCTCTGCAAGAAGATGATGATCAATGACTACAACAAATAAAGTCTTTGATTCATTCGTGTATGGCATCTATGCATGACTTGTTTTTTTGGCATGTAATGAATTGCCGTTACTCTGTATCGTTGAATTCATGATAAATTTCTGCTATATGATGGATGTACATGAATTTTGCATGCATATGGGTAAAGGGATATGACGAGTGTGGTTGTGCGGGGAAGAAATGAGGACCCGCACCATCTCCAACAACAAGCCTATTTTTGAGCATGAAAAAATGATGGAGTAAAAAAGTTAGGGCACAATTTTTTTGCTGGGTACGAGCGAGTGCTGTCTCCAACAACAGCCCTAGGCAAAAAACTTCTTTTGGCATGAAATAAGGCAAAACCACTTCAGCAGCTGCCCTAAAATAGGGTGGGAGCAGCGGCGAGCGTATCAGGGTTGGCGGCGGGGTCGGAGGAGCCGGCCATGGTGCGCGGCAACCGGCAGGCAAGCGGATCCGAGGGTTTTTGGCCGCGGCCTGGCGTAAAGAAGTAGCCACATGTTTTTGTCAGCCGCCGAAGTGCCCAAATTTGCTGCATGAGGAACTTTGTTTGGGATGCCTAATTTATTTTAGGATGGCAGTTGTTAGAGGCCTTTTTTGGCCTTCACACCCTGAAGTGGTCTCGTGCTCAAAAACATGATTGTTGTTGGAGATACTCTAAGCACATATACCTTTGGGACACGTTGGGAAGGCTACATACATCTGACCATGCTTGGGCGGGATGAAAAAAACTTGTTTGATTGCCTACATGGAGGCGTGGCTTGCATCGACACGAAACTTAAAGCACCATAGAGCCTGGGTCGTTGGGAACACTCGAATCGGCAGTTTCCAGCGAGCTAGGCTGAGTCGGGCGCAGAAGTTAGTCCTGGCACAGGGCGCAGTGCATGGGGAATCCGGGCGGAGATGGCAGGAGACAAAAATTGACGGAGGCCGAATGGCACGAAGTATACCCTCACCCGCCTCATTTACTCGCTCAGCCCTAGCTCTAGGACAAACCCTTCCTCTGTTGTTGGCACCAGCGACAATGGTGACTCAGATATGGTCTAGGACAAGCCCATACCCAGTTTAAGCTTGTTCTTGCATGTTGCATCCTTCATAATTGGATCCTGCAATGGGGTTGTGATGAACTTGTGCCGAAGAAGGAAGATGTGACGCCTGCTGATGTTGTCAGCTCCGGCCATGATGTGGAGGCATTTGACAATGAAGTCCGGAAGAACAGAAGGATGGAGCGGGCTCAGGTAATGTGGGATAACAAAGGTTAGGCAAAGGACCTGAAGAAGAAGAAGAAGAAGAAGAAGAGATATCAGCACAAGAAGAGGAAGAAGAAGGAGGAGTTTCACCTAGTTAGCATCGATAAGCTTTTCCCTGTTCAACCATATGGCTCATAATTCATACTGCCATTTGTTAGTAGTTAGGATAAACTATCATTTTGTTTTCTAGTTAGGGCTAAGACAATGTTCAATCCCTGTGTGGTAACGCCACCATTAGTGAAAAGTGGAGATCACATCTTATGTTGTTTGCAACCAAACAACGTGTAGTTTGTTTAACAACAATGACACATGCAACTGCACATCATGGTAAAAATTGCTCTCTTAATGTTTTTCTGAATGTTAGCATTACTGCTAAATTCATTGAACATGAGAAGAAAATTGCTCCCTTGATGTAGGTAGCCTGAATGCAGGTAACCAACTAACATGTAAATGTTGTTTTTTACCTACACCAGGACATATAGGCCTATGTGGGACAAGTATGTCAAATGCAAAAAAACATACGATGTCAGGGCATGTACAATGATGTCATATGGATACATATGCCCCATGATAAAAAATAATTTAAGACATCTACATTAATTTTTTCTTTCCAATGCAAGCTATCACTAGTGGGTCTCGTTAAGAAATAGAAAATAAAAATTTTAGTACACATGCATCTCTACTTTGCACTCCAACCTTTTCAACTTTTGTCATCGGACCACACTTTTTCTCTTCAAACACCGGTCTCCTGAGAGGATCTCGCTTCCCTATCCGAACATACTTTGCGTCATATCCGATTCTACATGACATGCGAGACATCATCTTGAGACTATGCATTCTCTCGTGCGTCCTTGTATGCCCGTGTCTTCCTAATCTCCGAGCTGCGATTAGCTTAACCACTAAGCTATACGAGCCGACCCGATGAAAGGTTTCGCCGGTCTCGAAGAAGACATGAAAAGAAAAACGCGCATTCAAATCAAACCACACGGTTCACTCGTTCCCCTACTCTTCTCCCTTCGGACGCGAAGAAACCCTCGGCCCCTCACAAAGAGAGAAGGGGAGAGAAAAAAATAAATTCAAAACCTCCCCCCCAAACCCCTCGTCCACCGCCGCCATGGACAGGGCCCCGCCGCGCGGCGCACCTCGCGACGCCGTCGGCCAGCGGTGGCTCGCCGTCTTCGTCTTCCAGGCCGCGCTCTGGGCCGCCGCCTCCGTACTCCACCTCGCGGTCTCCCCGAGCCGCCGCCACCCTAACCTCGGGGTACCCCCGCCCTTCCTCCTCGGGCTGCACGCGCCCCTCTCCTGCGCCGGCACGGGGCTCCTCGCGCTCGCCTTCCTCATCTCCGCCTCGCCCCACCCGGGCCCGCCGCCCGTGCCGAAGCTCGCCCTCGCGGCCTCCCTCTTCGCCTCGGCCGGTGCGCTCTGCGTGGCCGCCGCGGCGTCTCTGGTCCCCGAGGACGCCGGATGGGCTGCCGTCGCTGGGCTGGGATTCCGCGGCGCTGTGTTGGGCGCGGTGTTCGCCGCTCACTACTTTGGGCGCGGGAGGTGGTTGCTCCAGTTCCCCGTCGTGCAGGTGAGTGGAGTGGGGGAAAGTATTAGGGTTTCTGCATATGCTGCTTGATTCATCCGAAATCGCAGATTGGGTTTGAATTCGTAGTCTTAGAGTTTATATTACGACGTCTAAGATTAACTTCTCAGCAATGATTTGCTGTGCACTATTGTTCTTGAATCACAGGTGATGTTATCTTAATTGTGGCTTGAACTATTGGTATTTTACCCTAGGGTGTTTGGTCAGAGGAGAGGGCCATTCTGCACTATTGGATCGGTATTTAGACACACATTTTGTTATTCAAGTTAGACATTTGAATCAGATAATAGATGATTTTATTACGAGCACTGTGTAATTTCCCGAGAATATCATGTTTTATGGTCAAATATCCAGTCAGAAGCTTCGTTTTTATTCACTGTTTATTCGTAGACATTGTTTGCCTCTACTCTTACTTTTTTATTTAGGTGTGAACATGGTGGGGATTAATCAGAACGTAGGTCAATCAGTTGTAACTTTCAAAGCTAAGTTTAGTTAATTTTGATCCCTTAATAGTCTTAGATTTGCTTGCTTAGTTGCATGTTCATTTGCTATCTTACAGTTCTTCCAGCACTCATTTGAGTATATGGCTGCCTGGTTTTAACTTTGTTAACTTGTTTTATTGTCCAGAGACCTATGTTCTATGGATTAAAGATGGGGCTTCTACCATCTATTAAAAGGGCTCTAAAGATGTCGCTTCAGGTCTTCTTGCTTTCACTTGTCCTGATTCTTATTCTTCCTCGGCAATTCAGAATGGGAGGATCCATTGGAAGTCAAATTATCACCCAAATCGCTATTTTTATAGTGACCACAGGTGTTTCCTTCTGTTGGGAAATAAGCCATCATTTTGTCCAGGTTTGTTTTCTCCTTTACAATCCAAATCAAACAACATGCTTGTAGATGCACACTTGTTTCCGCAATATGTACTGCGCAGCTTGACTTTCCTGGAACTTTAATACAACTGTTTTCAACAAATTTCAGGTTGTGCACACAAGAAGATGCAGTTTTACTCCACCTCAGAGTTCTGCTGCTGCAGAGACTAATCCGACTGATTATATCCTCGAGACTCTGGAACTAAGTAATCCACGGTCGCTGATGCAATATCTTGCATTCCAAGATTTGTGTGCAGTATCTGAATGTAACATCGAACCTTGGCGTCGAGGTGCCTTCTTTGAGGAATCTGGTGAAACTTACAAAAGAATTGTGACAGCCTGTTTGAAGCCACTTGAGGAGTTCACTTCAAAAATTGCTGAAGCACTTGAAGGGTTTACTAGTGAAAGGCCAGAACTATTGTTACAACAGTCTAAGCTCTATGGTGCATTTAGTGATTCACAGGTAATTTTGTAACCATTTCATTTACTTCTGTTGTAGGTTCTTCAGTGTGTTTCCAGTTGTTAATCTTGTCTGTCTCTTCTTGTGTAACTAATGAAGTCTGCTTCGCGTTAAGAACCATCATCCAGCAAATAGTTTGAACCTACTGTTAAGTTGGTGCCTGCATTTTTTGTTTGACATCCGTGATAAAATATTTTAGAGTTGAATAAGGAGAGGCCACGCTTTAAAGATTCTGAGTTGGGTATAGTTGAAGCATACATGCATAATGATTGGTTAGTCACAGTTACACATAATGAATTCAAGATTTGCATCAAGCATCACACAATCCGGAAGATTTTGCATGATAACTGCTGATCATATTATGTTAGATATGTTATGGAATATGAGTATGCGAGTATCTTCATATTAGGTTTAATAGCTTAAGTTGAACTGCTCAAACCTTTTATTTGGAAGTTGGTAATTTCAAGTGTTTAGGCCTTTTGGAGCTGACAGGTTATTATTGACAGCTTTTATGTGAGTAGCAAATATATTCTTCTAGTATAAAGTAATTGGATACTGAGGTGCATTAACTATCATTGTGTTTGATTGCAAATGACATAATAAGTATGCCATATGCACATGGACCGCATGCAACAGTTTTGAATATTAGCTATGGGGCATGCTTTCTGTAATATGGGGAAGTTGGTTTGATTATGGAATATGGTACATGTGCTGATGTCATTTTTTTTACACGCGTATAGTTGACCTGTGGTCTGTTTGATGCAAGTGTTATAGTAAATAGTAGCTCACCATTAAGTTCTGAATCATGCTTTTCCTCAGAACCAATGGATGGATTGTAGCAGAAGAAGCTCTGTTCCATTTGGAGCAATTCTGTAGTACCAAGGTTGTGTTTGTTTTGAGCCCAAATTTGCCCCACCATTTTTCTTCTCGAACGACGCAGGAGATCTGCATGTCATTTCATTAATAAGAGGATTAAAAGTACAACGCCACACGCACACACAACACACCCAAAACCCAAACACTCTAGACCATATGAGGCACGCTTGAAGAAAGGGTACGACCAAAGCGCCAGAACACCGACCCTAGAACAGGGTCTGAAGGCCATGGGCCCTGGCTGTACGCCATAGGGCACCCTCCTCCTCTACCACCCGCACTACTAAAAATGCCCTAGGGCTACCTCAGATTCCACTTCCGTATCCAATCTCATTTCATTATCGTTTCGGCGTTTCCAAATGTCCCAAGCTACTACTATATGATCAAGGTATTGAGGCCTTTTCGGTGCTCCTTGTCCAATCTCTTGATTGCCCTGTTCCACCAGCCGGAGAAGGCCCCACCAACCCCACCAAATATTTGACCAAGTTTTGTGTGCCCATGAGTTGGCCAACTTTGGCTAGAAAAACGAAGTGGAGTTGGGTAAGGAGCCATTGGCATGCCAATAAGTTCGTAACCATCCAAACAAAAGCCAAAGTTTTGGTAAGGTACATTTTGGCCAGAAACCAAACATACAACAACTACAAGGCTAGAAGTAAAAAATGGAGACTGCTTAGCTGATAGCTGGTGTGACGAGTTCTCACAGTGTGGAGGCCAAATTTGTGAAACATGATGTCCCGTTTAATAGCAGCTTGAATTTATCTATATTCAGGATCAACTACATGGTTGAGCTTATTATGACTACTAACACAAATTATAAATGATCAGTTAACATTTTGAAGATTTAGCTTATTTCCATTGTGCATCTGGGGTGAATATAGCTTAACATGATTCTTGTGATTTCATAGCATTCAGAAACTTCATTAATGTCCGTAGGTGTCCTTCAGAGTAAGGTCAATTGTCTACATGCCTAAGCTTTAATAGCCTTGTCGTAAAGATTGCTTAAGGCCTGGAAATGTTTTTACGTGCCAGATGGTGTATCATTGCCAAATCATAATAGTCCAAATGCTACTTTGTGCACTAATGCCTAATGATAGATTGTTCTGTATGACCTTTGAATGTAGATATGCTCATGGTGTGCTCGGACATTGGCGACATTAACTGCACGCTCACGACAAGAGGATCGCTATGGAGTTGCTCAACTCACTGGCTGCAATGCTGCTGTGATGTCTACTTTGCTGTCTGCTCTAGTTGCGGTTGAAGCATGTTTAGGGAAGAAAACTAACCCACAACCTGCGCACTCACTGGGTCCAGCAAGCATTAAGTGGGGTAATAACTTCTCCACTGCAAGAAAAGGCAATGTAACAACCATCGCAAGCACACAAAGAGGTGGTCTGCACACTAAAGCTCATTCAATGGCTGATGTTTTCCGGACTTCAATTTATCAGATAGTCTCAGCCTTCTTGGATGACATGCGGGCAAATGCAAAAGCTTCGAGTTTGGAGAAGAATTGGATCAGTGAAGGAAGAAAACCTATATATGGTTCACGTGCTGTGTTGGTTCAGAAGTTGAGCTTGTTTATTGAATACCGAGCTGTCTGAACTCTGTGTGATGTCTCTCAAATCGACAGTCTGTTGGGGTGAAGGAATTTTGTCATGAACCAAAATGCTTGTTTGAGTGAAGTTTGGAGCTGCCGACACTACTATCTCATCGAGGTTCAGGAATATTTGTTTTGGCACTATGATCCACTGGCGAGAAATCATTTTCCATTCCCCATCTTTTGGAGGACAAGGGCCATGACCTATTATTATTGTGATTTCTTGCAAAACTATCTCACTATTTTTCAATTGTTGGAAGCATCACGCTAGTGAATGGAAAATTAAGCGCTCAATTTTGCATGGTACTCGAGAGGTGTTAGTATGTTGCTGTAGTAGGGGGAATGCCGAAATGTCTTGGGCTATCAGTCCACTTGATTGGCTTGTCAGAATGGCGATACTTGCACTGTAACTTATTACGCAGTAGTGCTAGTCAAGATCGAATGATTTTCTTTATTTGCTGATCCAAGGTTTTGTTGTTCAATGCGCACCAGCGCAGCCTTTTCACTTGTTGCCGTTTGCTGTTAATGCAAGTGGATGGAGCCGTTGGTGCGGTTTCATTTCCATCCCTGTTTCTTAAGAATAGACCCACGGTTTCCATTTATACTTTGGCCTTTGAATGGTGTTGAAAATCCAACTTCTCAGATTCAAATGTGCTGAATGTGGATGGTATTTCCATTGAAGTAATAACCATTCTAATTCAGCCATGGGTTCCTAATACAACCTCCCTCTACGAAGAACACTGAACACCTAATAGTGGAACAGAACCTAGCTAAAGATGAGGGAGTTGGCGGCCAGCCTCGCCGTCCTTGGCGAGGTGCCGAGCACCGAGAGGGCGGCCCTCGCGGACGCCTTCCTTGCGGCGGCGGCCTTGGGACAATGCCGGCGCGGCGAGAGGAACCTGCCACGGTGCGCGTTCAGGCCGCCCTCGCAGCTCCGCGACGGCTTGAGGCGCTTCTTGGTCGGCTTGGCCAGGTCCTCCAGGGAGGCCACGGCCGCCAGCGACGCGAACGACTGCGACTTGCCGTCGAAGAACATGGACAATCCCCTCCTGCACAGCACAGAAAAAAGGCAGGTCAGCACCTCTCTCTGCTTAGAAATAGATCACGAACGTAAACCATCAGCAATCGCATTCGCGCGCACGTACTTGATGGGGAGCTGCGTCATGAGGGCGGACATCTCGAAGTGGTCGCCGGAGCTGGAGGAGGACGACGAGGAGCTGGCGTCGTCGGCGAGGTCGGAGGAGGAGGACGTCGACGTGCACTCGGAGTCGGACGCGGAGCCGATGTCCTCGTCCTGCTCGTCGTAGGCGGCCCCGGGCGGCGCCACCATCATCATCTCCGCGGCGCGGCGGAACATCACGTACGCGTCCATCTGGGTCGCCATGCCAATCAGAGCAGAGCAGAGCAGACCAAACCAAGGAAGGAAGGAGAGAAGCAGCAGGCGATCTGAGATGAGCGATCGGTTGTGCTGGTGCTTTGGCGATGGAGGATCGAACTATAAAGGGGGAGCGGAGGAGCGGAGGGTGAGTCACTGGGAGGATAAGGAGGGGGGAGGGGCGCGGCTACAAATAGCGTGGGGACGTGGGCGGAGGAGATGAAAGCGGCCCGGTTTATTCACGCCCAAGTAAATGCCGCCGATTGGTGGAGTTCGGCATTATCTCCTCCCTTCGTTCTCTTTACTCGCGTGGGGCTTTTGTTTAGCTTTGCGCGGAGAGGGACGCGGCGCGCGGCGGGAGTGGGGGAGCGGATAAGGCCAACTCCACCGCAAGACCCCATCTTGTCCGGCTTTGTCCGTTTGGGGTAAAACGGACAAACCCCACGACCCAGCGTGCAATGAACTAGACCCATTTTGTTCGTTTTATATTCGGCTGACCCTATTTTTAGACCAAACTTGGGCTGGATTTGGGGCCAAAGCGGACAGAACCGGACGCGTTCTGCACCCTCTCCGTCCGCGCCCGTCCGGGGTGACCCCACTTGTCACTCACCCACCCACCCCCACCACTCTCTCTCTCTCTCTCTCTCTCTTCCTTTTTCTCTCTCTCTCTCCGACCTACCCACGCATAGCTGCATGCGACGGCGAGCATGCGAGGCCGGAGCGGAGCGCGTCGGCCCG